ATGTTACTACATCAATTCATAACCCAGTCCTTAGTGCTACTACATCAAGTCATAACCCAGTCCTTAGTGCTACTACATCAAGTCATAACCCAGTCCTTAGTGCTACTACATCAAGTCATAACCAGTCCTTAATGCTACTACATCAAGTCATGACTCAATTCTTAATGCTAGTGATCCCTGTTCCTAGCTGAATCTAGTTATACACCAAGATCAGTGTGTAAATACTTAATACTTGTATGAGAAAGTGTTTCCGAAATGATTTATGAGGGGCAAAAATATTCTACGTTTCTAGTTTGGCTAAACAAAAAAAAAACAGAACAGATTGAGAACATTTTAATGCAAAATGTGCAGTTTATTTTTTAAAAGTACTTAGGAACGGAAGGTATTTGTACTTCAAAATATAAACAATAAGTTATTGTTGCATAGTTTGTTTGTTTTAGAGCAAAACCACATCGGGCTATCTACTGTGTCCACCGCGGAGAATCGAACCCAGGATTTTAGCGTTATAAGTCCGTAGCCTTACTGCCTACCCACAGGTGGACATTACCATGGCAATGCTGATGAATGGCGCGTGAACCCCAATATTGTGTTGTATTTGATTTTAAAGTTCCAGCTGTGACACAATTGGATTAGCCTTTTGTTTTAGTTCAGGTTTATTTCTGTTGAACATAAAGTCTCTTTAATCCTCGGTTCTCTTTCATTACGTAGTTCTCCCAACGATATTTATTGGATTGTAAGTGACTAAAGAATGGTCAGTGAGAAAGTAAGCCAATGAAAGATAATAAACAGAAACAAGCCTGAAGTTAATCGCATGATTACTGTTAGTTAACTATTGCTGTAACTTAAATTATTGTAAGTGTACTACCCGAACTTTTAGTCTTTTGTTGTAACACTTTAACCCCGGGATCGTGTTGTTCTGATATTACCAAAAAGTAACACTTTAACCCCTGGATCGTGTTGTCATGGTATGAACAAAGAATAACACTTTAACCCCTGGATCGTGTTGTCGTGGTATGAACAAAGAGTAACACTTTAACCCCTGGACCAAAAAGTAACACTTTAACCCCTGGTACTATCAAAGAGTAACAATTTTCCACCAAGATTGAGTTGTCATGCTACTATTAAAGAGTAACAATTTCCCCCAAGATTATGTTGTCATGGTACTATCAAAGAGTAACAATTTTCCACCGAGATTGTGTTGTCATGGTACTATCAAAGAGTAACCATTTTCCACCAAGATTGTGTTGTCATGCTACTATCAAAGAGTAACAATTTTCTACCAAGATTGTGTTGTCATGGTACTATCAAAGAGTAACAATTTTCCACCAAGATTGTGTTGTCATGCTACTATCAAAGAGTAACAATTTTCTACCAAGATTGTGTTGTCATGCTACTATCAAAGAGTAACAATTTTCCACCAAGATTGTAGTGTTTTAGTATCAACAAAGAGTGACACTTTAACCCCCAAACTGTGTTGTCATGGTAACGCCTTAGCTTCTAGTCTTAGAATACGTTCTGCAAATTTGTTATCATAAGAAACAATAGCTCGCCTATTGTTTGCTATTAAGCAGAAATTTACTTAATTCTGTCCATGTTATGATAATTTTCTTTCTTACAACAATAAGCATTTCTGTGTGTGGGGGTGGGGGAATATAGACTTTATGCTTTGTAGTATTTGTTACGTTTTTGAAACCTAACCTTTCACAAAAATGTAACAATTAATGTGGGAAGAAATTGTTTCTATTAAAACTTTGTTGGACATAGGTTGTTTCTATTACACTTCAACAATTACTTGGTATTGTTGTTTTATAAATAAACTCCAGGATAAATATATATGCTCTTTTTTTTTCCTGTTCCAATTATAGTAAAGTCAACAAACTACAAAGAACGCGTGGGAAGATTGGGAAGTTTGCGATGTACTTACCCGTTCTCTTAGATTATCCACCCACACAGATTTACACTCATTCAAATTTGGCGTTTCTGGTTCCCAGCTGACTGTTTCATCGTTGCATTTCCATCGAGCTAACCCTAAATTATGGAAAATTGAAATATTTAATAAGAACTTTTAAAAATGGAAAAAAAACAACAAACAAACCAGAAATCAGAAATGCTAACAGAACAAGTGGGTGGAGCATAACAATCTGTTCATTTTTTTTTTATAAATTGAAACTATTAAGGTAGTTACTGTCCAGGTTGTCGTACTACAGCTATAAAACGAACTAACTTCGTCCCAGTATACCACTAGTAATTATGTGCATTTATTCTAATAGGTGGCACTAGTAAAAACTAAGAAATTAAAGGTAAGAACGTACAAGATTTGTAGATTACACAACAATTACCTGCTAGTTCACAGAATTATTCAAAGAAAAATTTTCGGATAATGACTAACATTATCAAGCTGCTTTTATTAACACAAGTTCTTCTTAGTCTCTAACTCACAAATAGAAATAAAACCTTTTTTTTTTGGAATAATGATTAGAAATAATTCTCCAATTTTAAAACAAAATGCATCTCTTTAGCCAAATTATTATTGTTTTCAAAGTATTTTACTTTAATGGTGAAGCTGTTGGACGTAGAATTTTGTACTTAGAGATATCACTCGTGAGAAATCCAGTAAACACTCAACGACTTTACGTCATATTTGTTGACTATTATTATAGTTTCAAAACGTAGATGGCGTAATGATGTTTAACGGCTCTATGCGTTACTGTATCGATCAAAAAGTGGCATTGCAATATAACGTTGTACATATTACTGTTCTGGACACTTTTACAGATATTAATTTTACTTATTGGGGTTCAGAACAGTTTTTGTTTCTGTCCACAACGTCCCGTCAAACACAGTTTGAGGATGACGTTGTAACGTCGAAACATGTAGAGTCGTCAACTTTTTTTGAAGGCCATAGATAGGCCTAAATAAAATGTTTTTAATTGTGTACCAGTTTAACGTTGAATATTATTTATTATTTTAACAGTTAACATTATTATAATCTCTGACAAATGCAGCGTTACTAGGGGAAAAAACATAGCACATAAAAGGGCAAAACAAATAAGTCCGTTAATATATATATATATATATATATATATAAACGAAAAAAAAAAAAACTGTCTTTCTAACCAGTGGCTCCGCCAGGACATTTCTGGACGGCTGTCTCTCCCGCACGAGTCCAATTCCAGTTCATATCTCTAGAGAAAATGGGTGGGCACATGTTTTGAGGGGTGAACGGTATTGGAGATGTAAACACTGATGATGGCTCTAATAAAATAAAATAAATAGTTAAATATTGGAGGAAACACACACACACACAGAACATATATAAATGTAATTATTTATTTGTTCGTAAAACCATGGAGAACTAAATGACTATGTACAATATAATGCAAGCCCAGAGACTAAACCTTGTGTTTTCGTGGCAGTTTAGATAAATTGGCGTTATTTTGGGTTGACATAAAAAAAGAATTGATTAAACCGAATACATCGTAATAACTATTTAATGTCCCTCCCAGTGGGACAGCGGAAAGTATACGTACTTACAATACCAAAATCCAGGGTTCAATTCCCAGCGGTAAACACAACAGATAACCCAATGTGGCATTAGTCTAAAGCTAACCATTTATACACTCCTTAGCAAGAAAAACAAATTTGACCGATAACATGATCTATGACATTTCACTAAAATAGCAAATACGATGTCTTATCTGACAATGATGGGTTTCTAAGATGTATAAATCGGTCACAAGTGGTTTCTTACATGAATATAAATTGTATTTCGATAATGTAATAGGGACAGACAGACTCGGTGGTTTTTTAATCAAGGTGCTCTAAATTGAGCTCCAAATGAAGACTTTCAGTTGCCCAATTTTTATATATATATTCCAGGAGTCTAAGCTCCACACAAATGAATAACATTTCAATGAAAAACTTAATACAGACGAAAATCCATGTTAAACTAAATGAATAGGTACTATTTAATTCATGTTAAACTAAGTGAATAGACACTAGTTAATTCATGTTAAACTAAATGAATAAGTACTATTTAATTCATGTTAAACTAAATGAATAGACACTATTTAATTCGTGTTAAACTAAATGTATTTATTTCATGTTAAGCTAAATGAATAGGTATTATTTATTGCATGTTAAACTAAATGAATAGGTACTATTTAATTCATGTTAAACTAAATGAATAGGCACTATTTAATTCGTGTTAAACTAAATGAATAGGCACTATTTAATTCGTGTTAAACTAAATGAATAGGCATTATTTAATTCATGTTAAACTAAATGAATAGACACTATTTAATTCATGTTAAACTAAATGAATAGGCACTATTAATTCGTGTTAAACTAAATGAATAGGCATTATTTAATTCATGTTAAACTAAATGAATAGACACTATTTAATTCGTGTTAAACTAAATGAATAGGCATTATTTAATTCATGTTAAACTAAATGAATAGGCACTATTTAATTCATGTTAAACTAAATGAATAGGCATTATTTAATTCATGTTAAACTAAACTACTATAAAAATAGTAAAAAACAAGTTTTTGTGGAATCTGAAGTTTGTACGAAACTATTAAACTGTTAAGTACTATTAACAGAACGAAACAAACAACAAAGCTTGTATAATGTATTACTTTTATTATAAAGTATTAAGACCTAATACTATATGAAGGCTTAAATACCTAACTTACCATTTAAGCCATTCTCAACACCGTAGTCTTCGAAAACATTGCTTTCCAGGTATGGAGGTAGAAACAGATAGGTTGTACTCTGCGTTGTGATCCTCTTAGTGATGGGGATTGGTGATGTTGTTGGTGTACTTGCAGTGGGCGATGTTTGAATAACACTTGAAGATGTCGAGCTAAACGTCGCCGAAGGTACACGAATTCCAGAAACAATATTTACCTTGTTCGTCGTATGATTCTTTTCTGGTTTAATATCTTGTTCTCGTGCTCTAACGTGTGTGTCGTTAGATGGCAGCACCATCGGGACTGTGAAGACTGGTAAAATGTCGTCAGGTCCTTCTGTTGCGCTCGGCCCGGAATGAGAGTTAGCTGTTAAAAAAAACAACAACAATGAATTAAATTAAGCAGACTGGTGGAAAGAAAATAAATTTATATATATATATATCTTCAAGTATGCATTTACAAATTAAGATAAATTATTTATCATCTTAACCCTCCATTTCACATTGTAATAAAATCCATCTTTGTTACTTAATACACTTCACTTCCACGTAATCATTTAAATAAATCACGAAATTATTGTTATCGGTTCCTCAATTGAAATATGTTAGTTCTAGGTAACGTACCCACTGATGACTTACCAAAATATATTTCACGACAACTTTTTTTTGTACAATATAGACCTATTTAAGTAAGAAACTCAAAGAAAACTTCTTTTTTTTATCGTACTTTTATAATGAGTGCTATAGAGGGTTAACAATTTATCAAACAGACCTCAAGATACAGTTCTGCATGATACTAACATTCGCTACGTTCGACTTCGAATGCAAACAAAAATATTCTTGTACAATATAACAAACACTATATAACCGATGTTTTGTATACCACAAGATAATGTGAGTCAAAATATGTGACATTAAGTGTTTTTATGTCAAGCTTTTGTGTTCTTTAGGTGTTTTCTGTGAATAACTAGAATCCCTGATAATGTTAAACTACATACGTTTATGTATCTAACTAGCCCTTTGTGGCCACTGTACTGCTTCTAACTTATGAAAACATACGTAAGTTAATCTATGCTAGCTCTTTGTGTCCACTGTACTGCTTCTAACTTATGAAAACATACGTAAGTTAATCTATACTAGCTCTTTGTGTCCACTGTACTGCTAGTATCTTATGAAAACATACGAAAGTTAATCTATACTAGCTCTTTGTGTCCACTGTACTGATATTAGCTTATGAAAAGAATGACCGATAAAGTTAACTTACGAGATACACAGTGATATTGAACCTCCAAATATTTTACTGTTCCTGGGCAGGGGTCGTCTCCAAATGTATTGCCAGAAACGTAAATACTGCAGCTGGACTTATGGCTGCACCTGATAAATATATAGTGTATACGAATAAGTTAACTTCATTAAAGCTTAAACATGTCAATGGGAGAATAATATTTAAATCACCGAAAGCCACATACTTATAAAACATGACACCAGAGGGGTACTTTGAAAGCAGTACGTGTTAGATAAAATAATAATTATTACTTTTGAAGACGAACAGTTTAGATACGTTAACAGAATATATTTATAAATACGTAAAAACTGGACAATTGGCTAACTTAGAAATCTAGAATAAATACATTTTTATAATGTTTATTTTTGTTTCATGAGAACCTATTTTAATTTATCTATCTGTGCCTGTTTAATGATCCTAGTGATGTACTTACCTGTCTTTCATGATGGGAAACGACCAATAGGACATGCAGCTGACGCTCCAATCAACGACTCCCTTGTCATTACATATACTAACACTAAACCTTCCATAATTTGCCCTCACGAGTCGTATGTGTTTCCCATTAGTGCATGATATTCTTAGATGCCTGCCCTCACAGGCATATGTGGTTTCATATTCGTCTCTCTCTGAAGGTAAAAATATAAGGAATGGTACTTCAATAATATTGGTAACCAGTATTTAAATAACACATCGATGAACGCCCTCTTGCGGTCACATCTCAAATCAATGAAATATAATCATTATAAAAACTCAAATGAAATATACACGGAAACGTCATTTAAACAATAAAACAAAAAATATAATTGCAACTCGTTTACGTATCACTTTACATATAAATATATATATATAAATACAGTCATGGAAAAATATATATATATGGAAACATTCTGTAACGTAGGAGAAGGTTTCGTTTCATGTAAGTATAGAAGCTGAGTTAGGCCTACATAGACTTTCATTATGCTGAACCATAATATCAGCATACAACATAGGCTATACATTAGAATTTGGTGTGCAATCCATCGTCTTTCTTTAGAGCAGGACATCTGGTAAACATGCTCTCAGAGGATGTCATATTATTTCAGAGGTTACTTGGTTGCCTAGTGACCTCCTCTTTGTTCTCTCAGTGATGAACTGTGTGGTAGGAATTGTTATGTTCCTACTTCCTGTTTCCTCTCCCTGTATTTTTTACCATATTTGTCCAAATTCTCGCAATGATGATCATATCTGAACTCTAAGTAGACCAAGACAGGCCTGTTTCCTCTTCTGGTAGGTTTTTACCACATTGGTCCAAATTATCGCAATGATGCTCATAATTGAACTCTGAGTAGACCAATACAGGCCTGTTTCATCTTCTGGTAGGTTTTTACCATATAGGTCCAAATTCTCGCATTGATGCTCATAAATGAACTCTGAGTAGACAAAGACAGGCCTGTTTTCTTTCCTGGTAGGTTTTTACCACATTGGTACAAATTCTCGCAATGATGCTCATATCTGAACTCTGAGTAGGCCAAGACAAACCTGTTTCCTCTTCTGGTAGGTTTTTACCATATAGGTCCAAATTCTCGCAGTGATGCTCATAATTGAACTCTGAGTAGACAAAGACAGGCCTGTTTTCTTTACCGGTGGGTTTTAACCATGTGTTTAGGATTATTATACTGCTGAAGCACAAACTCTTGACCAATCAGGTACGTTTCTAATGAATTACCATATTATATATATAACGATCTGTCTGAACTTTGCTGCTGTCAGTGTGTCATTTATATTCACTAAAGTCTCTGAAACTGATGGAGGAGATGCTACCCCAAAGCTGCAATAATTTAACCCCCATGCTTCTTTGTAATTGTTGTCCTCTGGCAGTGGTACTGTCCCAACTTCTTTCTTTGAATATACTGCACTCACCATTGATCGTTACTGAACAACTCTACCTCCAACTCACTGGTGAACAGCGCCACCAAGTCAGACCTGTTCATCTCCCTATTTAACCTTCGCTGCCATTTCTTTTGTTTGCGTCTCCACAGCAAAGGTTTCTACGTAGCTACCTATCCAATAAAGCTGCACAAAGCCAAGCTGTTTATTATTGCCCTTCTTTAAATGTTTCTTATTTCGAGGCTATCTTGCCATAACTACTGGGAACTTTGAGATTTTATTCTTGGTTGTTGTTTTTTTATTTATTTATAGCATCAATTTCCCGAACCTGCAAAATTTCTTGCATACAGCACCCACTGATAGATGTAGTTTGGCTTTAGTATGTTCCATGGAATAACCCACTGATAGATGTAGTTTGGCTTTAGTATGTTCCATGGAATAACCCACTGATAG